TTGTCCTCTCGAACTCGGTTTTCGTTTCTGTCCAAACTCGGAGTCCCTGGAGCCTCCCACCTCATTCGAACCAATGCGCATTCCGCGTGATTTTTTTGAGTATCTCACGACCGTCCCCGGTGCCGCGATTCGTGCTTTGGCCATGGTGTTGGCTGACCGCGAATCAGCTATGCCGGTGGAGCAAGTCATAAAACTCATCTCTGACTCTCAGGTAGCGTTGGTGAGGGTTCCGTTCCTTCTGCCCTATGAATGAGTACCGATTATTGGGTGCTCAGATGATGTTGAAGTGTACTCACTCAAGTTACTCCTTCGCTTCCCCGATCCTGGAATTCTTCAACAGTCTCCGGGGATTAATCGCGGACATCGACCAAAGCCTTGTCAATCCTAGCTGGGCGGACACGATGATCGCCCCATCCGAGGAAGTGGTCAGTGATATCCCGTTGGTGGACGTGCGCCATAGACTTAGACTAGTTTCAGACCCGTTTGGTGCCCCATGGGTTCTATCTTCCGACATATAACACCAGATACACTGCACCGCAAAACTATCCAACCCGTCGAGCGCCTCCATTTCCAGACCATCTTGCTAATTGGTGGAAGAAGACGTTCCCCGATATCTGGGTTGACGTCATGGAGTCTAAGCCGAAGCTACCAGACTGTAAGTCTGTCGACTTGTTATTTCTCAACCAGACATTTACAACTGAACATTTCAGCGCCATACATTACTCTCCTCCGCCAGAATTCCCGAGCCAAAAAGTCAAAGGCTACGTCAACAATTATCGTTCGCAAACGCATCGAAACACAGCAGTCGCCCAATGCAACAGTGAGCACTTCCTCAAGTTGGAGTTCCGCTATTTTCAAATTCTGCGTTTCTTAGTCGGCCTCACCCACGACTAGAAAGAAGTCCAAGGCAGCTATGGAACGACTGCTTACGACTGGGCGACCGATCATAAATATGACCACCGATCATGCGGCCTCGGAAGACTGTCGCCTCAGCGCCGGCGAGGCCAAATCCCACACAGGCAATAAACGCAAGGCCTCCGCAACTTCAGTCCTCGGAAAGGATCGTGGGCGGAATCGCGGGGACAAGCGTATGAGGGTTCAAACTTAAGGCCGAACGCGTCAAGCTGGAGGGTATGTGGCGATGTTGCGGTATGATGACTAAATAAAGATGTAGCGGACAAAGGAAACCAGCACAAGAAGAGCCTCGAAGCACGGTAGTGGAAATTGGAATGGGATACTAAGTTCCGTGAGACGAGGAGGTAGACTCTGCACCTACATGAGCCTGAGATCAAATGTTTGAAGCTACATGTATGTATTCATAAAAAGCCCTTTCTCTCTGCTTAATCGGACTACGCCAAAGAAGAATTGCGATGGACCAAACAAAATCCGAGAATTCGAGTTCCAGAATGCGGAAAGATCTACTTGAAGGACCGGCCGAAAGACTACGAGAACCAGTCTTTAAGGTCCAGCGGGGCTCTTCGGCCCAAGATCGTTGGCATCCGTTCAAGTATTAACGGGTTCGATTCCTTCCGGAGACGTATGTACAGCGTAGAAGCTTTGGTGGTTTTGAGTTCCAGAGGTTGAATCTCGTTGCGTAGAGAACGGCGCGGCAACGACGGAGAGGGTGGGAACTTCGAAAAATAACCGGATCTTGAGGTGATTCAAAAGGTCTGGGAGAGAGTTTCACTGCGCTTCGTGCGTTGAATTCGCCGTGTCGCGTCTAACCTTGTTCTTTTTGTGGAAGTCAGTCTCGTGTATTCTCCATACGAGCGACCGAGGATTCAGAGGCGGTACCAGTGTGCGTTGCATTTTCGACGGAAGGAGACAGATTTTGACGTGAATAGTTCGTTTAGCGGAAATCTTGAATGAAAAGTCTTCGAAGATCAACGGCGATCATCCTGTTTCACTTTGTTTGGAGATAACGACTGTAATGCGGGAAGGTGGGAGTTCGAATCCCTCCGAAGACGCCACAAGTTCAACGCGGGAAGGTGGGGTTCGATTCCCTGCCCGAAGACGTGAGTCCGAGAATCTAGCTTTTTTCGGTGCGTCGAAGAACTAGTAAGTATTTTTCGCCGCGGATGGGATTGAATCGGACTGCGCCAAAGAGGGATTGGCGGTGAGCTAACCGAAATCCGAGAGAATGGCGAGTTCCTGTGCTGAATGCTCTCCATAAAAACTGACCAACAAGTACGACAACAAGTCTTTAGGGTTCAGCGGCGCTCTTCTCGTTTGTCGCCTGAGATCGTTGGCGTCGTTGAAATTAACGGCATGTGGGGGTTCGATTCCATCGGGAGACGTATGCACACCGTAGCATTTTGAGTACCGGAGGATGGGTGTCGTCCGAGCAGAGAAAAAGGAATTTTATAAGAGCGCCGCTGCAACATGGTCGGGTTTTTGCGTCAGGGGAAGAATTTCTACCAGCCTTTGGGGTTATTTCAATCGCAAGAGGTCCCATCTCGTCGCGACAAATAAAAGCACAGGAAAACCCGAAAGTAACGCGGCTGGAAGTCTTCGAGTCGGTTTTCCCTCCACTGTCCAGAAGTCGTTCCCCGCGAGTGATTGGCTCAGCCAGAATCGCCCAGAAGATAGCACAGTACCGGTAGCGTTGCAGCAGGGTAGGTCAAGTAGTCAACGGACGCAGGAAGTTAACTTGTCGATGTGGTGGTAAACGGCAACCCGGGTCGGACATCCCCGAGCTTTGGCCCGCCGGAGTTAGCCAAGCACGGCGGCACAGCCACGTCATATCCTTCTCTTTAACTCACCCGCCCACCTCCTCTTCCACTCTTGAGTCTCCAAATTCGCCAAATACGTACGGGCCCCGACATGCGTCCGCGAGCTTCTTGGACCCGCGCTCCTTCGTTAGGCTACGAAAATTGGATAGTGGGCTCGGGAATTTGGTGTTTTCAGGGAGATTGACTGGGCGGTGTAGTGTGAATAGGACTAGAGTGTAGAGGCGATAGTGACTAGGTGCGGTGCTCTAATAGCGCGAGGACCGTTTTGCTGACGGAATCTGGATTCTTTCTCTCCCCGCGCTCCGCTTCCTTGTGTACTTGGCGTACTCTTATCTCGGCTTCGCATTTTCCGTGGACAACAACAACAACGACTCGCACCAGGGATGGGGACGGGGACTGACCCCGGCGCCGCAGCGGCGGAGCCTGCTGGGGAGCACGCGGACGGAGAAGCAGTAGAAGCAGACGCTGCATGCGCATGCGCACGAAGGGATGGGGATGGGCGGTGGGAGCGCGCGGAACGGCGTGGTGATAGGGAACGCGAATGGCTTCGCGACGCCGGGCGCGGTTCGACGGTGCCGCAGAAACGCAAGGTGGGGTTTGGGCTCGGGCATGAGAATCCGCAGGGGCAGGGGCAGGGGCATGGGCACGGGCAGGGCGGGAGCAATAAGGCGCGAAGGGAGGAGGATGGGGGCGGCGCCGGGAGGGGGAGGGGATAGTGGGCAAGCCGTAGTCGCGCGCGGGCGGCGCTGCTCGGCAGGGCGCAAACGCCCTTGGTGGGCCCGCGCGCTGCGGTGAATGGCTGCAGCGCCAACGCTGACGCGGAGGACGAGATTCGCTGTCGGTGCGGGCCGTCGGTGGACAATGGCTTTAGCGTCGCGTGCCAGAGGAATGGAGATGTTGGGTGTGTGCGCCGGGAGGTGGGTACCGGTGAATACCTATGTTCTTATCGTTTTCTTACTTTTCGTTCTCGTCTTGCCTTTGGGAGATGGTGGGCGTGGCGTCGTGGCATCGGCTGCGGCTGCCGTTCCTTCCTGCAGACGTCGTCGTAGTCGGCGGGCGGGCGTAGCGCTAGCCCTAGTCACCTTCTCGGTGACCTCATCCTCGACACCACCGTCCTCCCTCCGCTCTTGCGTCATCAACAGTTGTGCCTCCATGTACACGCGCGATGTTATTTATTTTCAACGTTTCGCGTTCTTCATTACCACTAGGCGGAGCTGGTTTTTCTTTGTTCCAGCGTTCCTGCCGCGATCCTGCCGTTTGCGCGGGCGGCTTTGTTTGGAGGCAGACAGGTGGTTAGCGTCGCGTCGACGTTTCTGTTCCTGTGCTTGTCGACGGGCGGGCGTCCCCATTTGATTCCCTTCTTTGCGTGGAGTGGTCTTTTCTGTTGCGTAGCACGCAGCCGCGGACGGTGCCTGTGGATCTCACTCTCGTTCTCAACTTCTCAAGCACCGGAGGTACCCAGATCTTTTCAGCAAGAACGGTTCGTGTTCTGCTCTGTGCGCGTTACTACCGCCATGTATTTGAGGCGAATTTGGGGGGAGAGGAACGGGCGAGGAGGTGGGTGGGTGGAGGCAGGAGAGAACACATGTCACGTTCCTCGTGCTCCACATACCCCTGGAAAATTCGGACTGAACCAGTGATTCACGCCGAAAACTTGTAGGGAAAATCCAAGGAAAACCTCCTGAAAATCGACTCGAAATTCATGCAACTGGCAACTGGCGACGCTACCTGGTTCCTCTCTGCCGTTCCGTCTGGTGATGAAAATCGAAGTTGTTGCATCGAAAATGTGAAACTCTCGCTCAAAGATTCAAATAGCGCCAAAATCTCACTGTTCTTCGAAGTTTTCACTGGCCGATGCGTTCTCTCACGGCTTTCTTCCTACTTTTGTTCTCTGCGCAAACTCGGCCTCACAACCCCGGAACTCAAAATGACCAAAAATTCGCGACACCCCATATACGTCTCCGGAGGAAATCGAACCCTCACCTTCGGACTTCCCGCATTACAGTGCCCATCTCCAAGTTGTCTCCAAGAAAGTGAAACAGGATGAACACCTTGATCCTCGAAAACTTGTTTTCGTACTCTGTTGGTCAGTTCCTGTGGAGAGCTTTTTGCATACTGGAACTCACAATTCTCGGATTCCGTTTAGTCCACCGCGATCCTTTGTCTGCATAGTACCGGTCTGCTCGAGTCTAGTTTCGCGCGGCAAAAATACTGTACATCCTCACTCTTCCACGCAAAGCGGGCAAAAAAACGCTGTGCACCCTTATACGTCTTCGGAGGGAATCGAACCCTCACGTTCCCGCGCCAAACCACGGGATGATCACCATTGATCCTCGAGGACTGGTTCTGGTGGTCTTTCGCCCCATTCCTATGGCGAGCTTTCGGTAATCTGGAACTCGCAATTCTCGGATTTCGTTTAGTTCAACCTACTCTCCACCGCAATTCTTCCTTCGCATCGCCTGCCTCAACTCTAGTCGCCCGCGGCGAAACATACTTTACTTCCCGGTCCTTCGACGCACGGAAAACGCTGACTCATCAGTCGCACACGTCTTCGGAGGGACTCGAACCCTCACCTTCCTGCATTACATCCGCTTCCAACGCGTTCAGGTAAACAAACAGGATGATCGCCATTGTTTTGTCAAACCGGCCCCTCTACCGCAATTCTTCTTTGGCGTGGTCCGTTCAATTCCAGGTTGAATCTCCCGCGGCAAAAAATATTATACTTGCTGGTTCTTCCACACACAAGGCAGGCAAAAAATCCCTTCGGAACTTTAACCGTCCACGTCTCCGGAGGGAGTCGAACCCTCATCTTCCCGCGTCAAACTCTACGATGGGAGCACGAAAGCGAACGGGACGATCGCCTTGATCCTCGAAGGCTTCTTACCATGAACTTTGGCTGGCGTTTTCTTAGCGATGTTTCGGTTGCATAGCACTCATTTAAGATTCAAGATTCAAGCTGAACGAAATATTCACGAAACAATCTTCCCGAGAATTGGAACCCACCGCGCCTCGCATCCCGGCCCTTAGGGTTCTCGTATGGCTTTCGTTGGCTGGTAAAGCTCCCTTCGTTACTTAACTCCCGAGGAAAAATGAAGTGGCACGGGCGCACGTCTCCGGAGGGACTCGAACCCTCGCCTTCCCGCGTCGAACTTTTATAACATTAGATCCACAGGTGAACGAGACGATCACCATTGATCCTCGAAGACTGGTTCTTGTATCTCTTTGACCGTGCTCTCTTGGCGATACTTCGGCCCTCGCGCCCAAGCCAAACGCAATATTTATGTGCTCTGCGTAAACGAGACCGAAGCGCTGGAACTCAGAGGACCAAAAAGTATCGCACTTGACACGGAGGGAATCGAACCCCCAACCTGGCGCTAACTCTAACGACGCCAAGAATCGCGGATAAACGAGAAGATCGCCGCTGGAGCTCAAAGACTGCTTCTCGTACCTCTTCGGCCGGTTCTTATGGAGCGTTCTCCGCATCCTGAAACTCGTAATTCTCGGATTTTGTTAGTCCAATGCATCCACCGCAATGCTTCTTTGGCCTAGTCTGCCTCACCTGCAGTCTCCCGCGGCAAAGATATACATACTTCTTGGTTGTTCCACGCACAATGGGCAAACATGTTCCCGTCGTACACGTCTTCGAAGGGAATCGAACCCTCACCTTCCCGGGACAAACTCCTTTAGTGGTGCGCACGAAAGCGAACGGGATGATCGCCTTGATCGATTGACCCTCGAGGACTGGTTCTCGTACAAATTGGTTGGCGTTCTCCTAGAGGTATTTCGGCCATCCGCCCATTCAAGCTTCAAAATATTGACGCAAGAATCTTCCCGACAATTCAAGCCCACCGCGCGTCCCGTTTTTTGGCGTAATCTGCCTCCACTCCAGTTTCCAGGAACAAAAAATACTTGTTGGTTCTTTCACGCACAAGCCGGGCAAAAAATGCAAACGGAGTCCATACACGTTTCCGGAGGGAATCGAACCTTCGCCTAATACATTCACCATCGTTTGAGTGGACTGGTTCTCATACACTTTGGCTGGTATTTTCTTAGCGATGTTTTCGGCAGTACCCATGCAAAATTCAAAACATTAACGCAAGAATCTTCCCGACGACTCAAGCCCACCGCGCGTCGCGTTGTCTTGGCGTAATCCACCTCAACTCTAGTCTCCTGGAACGAAAAGAAGAGGTGTTTGACGCGCCAAACACGGTCTATGCAGGCGAGCACGGCGCGACGCGTCGCGCCGCGTCTTCCCCTTTCAGTTTTCTTTGTCCCGACATATATATATATTAGTCCTTTCATCTTTGTAGCCTCTTTCTCCTCATCTTCTACTTGCCCTCACACAGCTCGATAGACTAGATTCCTTTAATACTTGCTGGTCTTCAACACACAAGGCGGGCAAAAAATTCGTATAAAACACGACCACGTACGTCTTTGGAGGGATTCGAATCCTTTCCTCTTTGCTTCAAGACCACGTCCACTCAACTCTGGCGACTCAGCTCTTTGTCCGGCAACGCCGATCCGAATTCAGCACAGCCCTCTCGATCAATGAACATCTTTAAACGTGCCTTTCGTGACTTCATCTCGGTGAACTCTTCCTTGTCAACCTAGGGTTTAAAACGCCGGACGCTGTAAGTATTCCTGGATCCCGGCGGCTACCACCCTTCGCTCTATCAATTATCCTATACCGCCGGCAAACCAATTCGGTCTGAAGATATGAATCCCCGCGGCCTCGTTTTCGACCCGTGGACGTTGCTATGCTCGAAACCTGCTTCAAAATCCTGCGATCTCAATACCCTAACGCGTCATTCTAATCCACTCGCTTCTCCGACGCGGAAGAATACCTCGTAATCTGATCCATCGACGACTCTTTTCTGGATCGCTATTGATTCTCCTCCATTTTTTGACGGTTATTTAGCCCCCCGCATCATTAGGTTGTGTCTTGGGCTCTGCGGTGATACCTCCACGCCTCAACTCAAAGCTCCCCGAAATTGAGGGTTCGGCGTTCTCTCTCACATATCACTCGGCGCGCTCTCTAGCCAAAGATTCACAGCCGCTGTAGCGCCTGAAAAGTCACGAACTCCATCAGCAAATAGGATACTATAAGTGACTGGGAACCTGGCCACACTAGGAAGCTGGCCATAGACCAAATATAGAACTCTCAAGTGTATACTATCTTACTTTCATATTTCCACAATGGAATTTGAACCATCCCGCACCTTAAGACCAAATTTCAACCTGAAGTGATAAGTTGATCGAAAGCTGTGCCCGGATTGATTGCGGTCCGGAGGGTGAGAACAACCCCGAGCCACCGTTTCGCTTGTTTCTCAACCAATACGCAGTGGATCCGGGAGTTTGGGGGCATATTATTTTGGTCTGATGTGGGAATCTCTTGTAAGCATACAGGACCTGGCAGATACCTTGCTCTGTATCCCCAAATTCACCAAAACACCGGGAACAGGAATTCAACATTTGCAAACTGAAATTCGAGATAGCAATAATATGCACTCTTGCAGGATACGATTCCGAGGCCGTGTAATATCCATACTAATGTCTTAACCTTTCTTGTCCTCAATAGCGCGACACCTGAATGCTTCCTCATCCCTCCTGATACGCACTTCAATAGAAAATCACCTGTTCGGCCCCCAAAAAAAGGTTAAACATCGGGGTCTCGGCAGAATACCTCCAAGCTAGAGGTATGTGTCCAGGTTGGTCCATCAGGTTCCAGTGAACCTGCTTGTGAGTTATTTTGGCTTCAAGTCTGTTACCAGTCGCGTACCAACCCAATTTAGGATGAAAGTGCAGATCCCGCCACCAAGGCCTGTATAAAATGTCGCCGCTACGCCACTTCTGCATGGTCGAATGTATGACAGAAGTACCCGCCCCTCATTCTTCATGACCAATGAGCTTTCAAGGGTGGCCAGGTTCCATGTCAATTGACTGGTCGGGAAATACCTGAAAACTAAATTCGCTGAGCACGCAAATCGGCACCGAAATTATCGCAAATATGCTCAGTCTCTTCGCAGGATCCGGGCCTATTGCATAGGGTCCTCAAACCTGGCAGAAGCTCCCGTGGTACATCGGTATTGGGTCCAAATGCCTTAGGTGGCCAGGTTCCCGGCGGGATATAGTACACCTCAAAAATTCAATATTTCCCGCGCCATTCGCTCGTGCCATCGTCTCTCGCACTCCCATCTCTCGAGCAGTTTTCTTCATTCCTATCGTCTTTCTTTCTGCGACTCTCTGTGCTCCGTTCACTCTGTGATTCTACGCAGGCATATTTCAGCGCTCGCAGTCAGACACTTGTACCTTGATAGAATCAAGAGAAGCAAAAGACAGAAAGAGACAAATGGTCCCCCTCGGTTCCACAGCCAGAACCGCTTGCTTCACGCACCTGTCGTTGTGAACTCTTCACGGCCGCGCACGTGGGACGACAAAGCGTAGAGGGAGCCTTCAGGGGTCCCAGTTCGTGCGGGAGGCGATGTAGTTGTTCGGCGAAGGTGCATGGAATGCATCCAAATCGACGTCTGCGGGCTACCTTGTTACCCGTTCGACATTCCTCAGTAAGATGTACTTCTTCTTCTTCTAGTCCTAGGCCTTGGCAAAATCAATTCCGGAGGCGATGAAGCGAGCGGTGAGGACGCAGCTATGGGCGATGACGATGTATTCAGCGTTGAGGGCAGCAGGTGCAGTATGGCCTGTAAAAATGCCGAAAAGAGAAAGGAAAGAATTATGGGGCGAGAGCCGGTTTGGAGGAAGAGGTATCTTCGGAGCGAGAGCCATGGCGGTCCAACCAAAAGCACGGGAGGGGGAAGATCGCACCTAGCGGAAGAGGACACGGATAACCCTAACCCTGAGTCGGACGAAAAGTCGTAGAGTATGAGATCAAACAATGAGATGATATGGCATCGGTCGTTCTGGGGGGAGAGATGTTTCGACAGACCAAGCGACAGAATGCGAGGATAAATTTACGAGAGCTGAAGAGCTGGAGTAATGCAACACCACCGAGAGCTTGGTTAGGTTAGGTTATTAAGGAGGAAAGACGGTCCTAGGGTCGGCCCTAGACCTAATTTAGGGGTTAGTAAACCCTAATTTAGGGTTTAAAGACAGTATAGCATTGGCATCTAGGTTGACAGCCTGTCAAAACGCGACTGCCCCTGCTGTAGGGAGCAGGGCGGCATGCCGCACTCATGACGATGAAGTGAAATATTCCGCCCTGGAACCAACCGGGACTCAGTTGCATGAGTCCTGGCAGACTGCGCTCATTTGGGCCCAACGGGAGGATTGCTGCCGTGAGATCGCTGCGGGCGAGTCGGAATCATTCCGAACTCGTGTCTCTGC